AATATATGATATATTAATTATTATAATTTTTTTATAATATTATTATAATTAAATTTAATTATTATTAATTATTAATTTTATTTTTTTTTTATATTAATATTAGATTTTCATTATTTTATTTTTGTTTTTAATATAAAAAAATTATTTTTGACAAAGTTTTGATAATAACTAAATAGCTTTAACATAACTAAATATTTTATTATAATTAAATAATTTTATCATAACTAAACGTTTTATTATTTTATCATTTGAAAAATAATGACTAAATATAGTGGTAGTCAAAAGTATTACATTAGTTTTACATTAAATTTAAAGTACAAATTACTGTAGCTAGCAAAATGCATTTATATTTGTTTTATAGGTTGAATCTCAAACAATATTTTAAAACAATTTCTTTGTCTAATTCATAATATAAACTTAAATAAATTGTTTGATTTGTAAAATTATGAATTTTTAACTTTTTATTTAGAAAGGTTACAGTAAAAATTAATGCCAAAAATTGATTTGATTCTCTTAGTAATTCTGAGCTTATATTTCAAAAATTGTAAAGAATAGTTTAGTAGTTGTAGAGCTACTGTCTTTTGAAGATTCTAAAAATCATTAAAAATCAATGTTATACATATATAAAATGACGATTTTTATAGATCTTTAAAAGCAGATTCCTTCACAACTACTGAAATGTTCTTTATAATTTTGAATATAAGTTCAGATTCACTAAGAGAATCGATTTTTGTTATTAATTTTTACTGTAATCTTTCTAAATAAAAAGTTGAAAATTCATAATTTTACAAATTAGACAATTTATTTAAGTTTATATTATGAATTAGGCAAAGAAATTGTTTTAAAATATTGTTTGAGATTTAACCTTTAAAACAAATATAAATGCATTTTGCTAGCTACAGTAATTGTACTTTAAATTTATTGTAAAACTGATGCAATACTTTTAACTGTCACTATATATTTTAATTACTAAATATTTCAATTTTTTCATATTATTAATATTTATTAAGATTGCTTGTTTAAATTTCTTTTTGAATTTGGCTAAATATATAAATCTTTAGTTTCACTAAATTTTATTAAGATTTTAATAAAATTTCACAATTTTTTAAGCTTTAATATAATTTTACTATTTTTTTTGAAATTTGCTAATTTTTTGATGAGATTTTAATATAATTTAACTTAGTTTACCTTTACCATTTAGATAGCTAGCTAAATTCTAGATTTCATCAAGTAACTTTAATTAGGGTTCTACAATTCGATTTGATATTTAAATATTCAATTTGAAAATAAAATCAAATATAAATTCAAATTTATATTTGATTTGATTTGATTAAATTCAAATCAAAGAATGATTTCAAATTCAAATCAAGTATTCAAATATTTGATTTGATTTGAATCAATAGTAAAGCCATCTCCAAAGCTTCAAGTGTGGCTTTTACTAAAAAAACTATAATAAAAAGCATCTCTACAACTTTGAAAATAACTTATTTACTAAGAAAACTATAGTAAAAAATGCCTTTGCAGTTTTAGAAATGCTTTTTTTCTAAGTAAAATATAGTAAAAAATGCTTTTACAGCTTTGGAAATATTATTTTACTAGAAAAATATAATAAAAATGTCTTTGAGGCTTTGGAGATATTATTTTACTAAGAAAACATAGTAAAAATGCTTCCATAACTTTGGAGATGATCTTTTACTAAGAAAAAATAGTAAAAATATCTCTGCAGCTTTTGAGACAATATTTTACTAAGAAAATGGTTACAAAATTGAAATGGTAATTATTACTAAAGTTTCTTAGTAAAATCAAAATCACAATAGTAGTTATTACTAAGTTTTCTTAGTAAATTAAAACTACAATGGTGGTTATTACTTAGTTTCTTAGTAAAACTGAGACTATGTACAGAGTTATTTTACTAAGTTTAATAGTAAAAATTCAACTGAACTGTTACTAAACTTATTTTGTAAAAGTTATCTTTGAAATTTTTCATACAATTACTAATAATTTTCTTAATTAAAACTTTAGAATAACTTTATTTTAATTTATTATTATAAAAATTAAAAATTTTTTTATATTCAATTTGATTTGATTTAATTTGATTTAATTTGATTTGATTTGATTTTGAGAAATCTTAATCTTAATACTTATAATTATTAATTTTTTGTAAATAAATAAAATTAATTAAAAAATATTTTTTGCAAATTTTATTTTGTAAAAGAAATATGTTATTCTTTTAAGTAATATTATTTAATAATATATTTTAGCAAGAATATTATAAAAAAAAATATATAATATAATAAATAATTAGTATATTTCATAAAATTAATCAATATTCTGATATTATTATTATTTTTAATATAATTAATATAATTAATATTATTAATATATTTGATATAACTAATTTATTATTAGACATATATTATATATTAGTTTTATTTTTCTATATATTTAATTTTATATAAAAATTGTTAACATGTGATTTTAATAAATTATTACAATTATACAGGATATTTGAGTGTTAGTCCTTTTAATTTATAATTTATATAATAATTATGATTAATTTCTAATTTCAGACTTATAACTGATATTACTTAAGAGTTTAGATATCATAAATATTGAATTTCACTAAAATTTATAATTTATTACAATAATTCACAAAGGTTTGTAAAATGTTACTAAAACTTATAAAGATTATATATTACTAAAATTTATATATTATGAAGACTTAAATATTATAAAGACCTGTATATTATGAAAACTTATGAAGATGTAAAAACAAGAAAGAATTTATTGATAATAATAAATAAAAGAAATAAAATAAATTAAGAAAAAGATAATTTTATAAAGGATATTTTAAAAATTATACAGCATATCGAATTCTACATTTGCTATAAGTTCTAAGTTATTGTATTTATATATATTGAAATGCATAAATAATAAATTAACTGTATTAAATAAAATATATTATAAATATTAGATAAATTAAATAGTCAAATTTATCAACTATATTAATATATAGAAGCTATGCTATTAAAATTGGATTACATAAATCTTTCAACAAAAAATGAAAATTTTGATTCATATTATAATATAAATTTTATTTGGTTAAAATTTTAAAGATTATTAGCTTATTAATAAAACAAGTAATTAATTAGGCTGGCAAAATTTTGTATAATATTAATCATAAATTTAAAATTAGATGATTAATGTAAATTTTAAAAATGATTGGCATATATTAGAATTAAATTTAATAAAATTTATAAAATTTTAAAATTTTAAAAAATTAAGCTTAATTTAAAATTATAAATATATAAATTTTTTATTTATAAAGACATTTATACTAATTTCAAATATAAATTTTAATTATATTTATTAAACCAGCTTTTAATAAAGAATATTATATAAAATTAGTGTAATAATACTTTAAAAATGATTTTAATAGCAAAATTTTAAGTATTACAAAATTGATAAAAACAATTGTAAAATTTTAAGTATTATAAAATTGGGTTAACAATGACTTAGAGTGTAATTTTAATAACAAAATCTCGAAATTAGTATAATAATATTTTATAAAAGTAAAATTTAGATATTTTTTATTTAAAATAATTTAATATTTATAAAATAATTATAATAAAATATAATATCATCTTATTAATTAATTTGATACAAATATATTTTTAATACAATTTTTTATTGACTAAGTATGTTTATTATAATATAATTATTTTTGATTATTAATTATTCAAAATTAATTTACTAAGTTTCATAATCTACTTTTAATAGTATAACTCTCATATTAAACAATATTAATATTTTTTAATGTTATATATGTAGATTAATTTATAGATCATTTAATAGATCAATTCTATAAATCAATTATATAGATCACTTTGTAAATCTGTTTACAATATGATATTTTATAATATTAAAATGATAAAACATTAGATTTCTTCTAGCCTAATATTAATATTCTTATTGATTTCTATTATCATTTTATTATTTTCATAAATAAATATTTCATCTTTAATAAAATTTATTTTATTTTATCAGAGTTCTTCTAATTAAAATATATAAATTATTTTATTAAAATCTCATATTAATAATATTTAATAATTGAAAAATATATTTATGAAAAATATTAACATATATAGTATTATTTATTATTTTAGAAAATAGAATATAGATTCTAAAATTATTTTGAAAATTATTTTTAAAATATTTAATTAAAGATATTTTAAAAAATATTTCACTTTTTAAAATTTTTATTATATTTAATTATATTGATTTTATTAAATTAAAAAAGATTAACTTATTATTGTATAACTTTTAAATAATTGTTTTTTATTCTAACTTTATAATTTTAATTTCATATAAGATATTTAATTAAACTTTTATAAATATAAAGAATTAACTAAAAATATGAGAAAAATATTTTAATCAATTTTTTATAATTGTTAAATTCAAATAATATATGAATAATAATTTTATTTATTATTAATTATAAGTAATTTCAAACTAGAGTTTATTATAAAAGTTAAATAAAAATTTATCAGTTTAATATTTTAAATTAATAGTTGGTATTAGCTATTTGTTTTAAAGTATTAATATTATAAATAATTTACAAATAATAATTATGATAATAATTTAATAATTATTACTATATTATTAGTAAAAGATAGAATATTATTACTATTAAATTTATCTTGATTCAAAATCAAAATAAATAAATTAAATATAAATAAATTTATAATATCATATATTTGTAATATTAATTTATATGAAATTATTTTAAATATATTTAGAAAAATGTTTACTTTTAATTAATATCAACTTAATATTATTACTAATTAACTTAAAAATTCTAATTTAAAGTATAATTTTAAATCAAAAAGTGTTATTTAAATACAAATATAAATTACTAATTTTATAAAATTTATAAAGCTATTATAAATTATATATTATAATAAATTAATTTAAAAAATAAAATTTAAATATTAAATTATTTATTTAAATAATAAATCTGGAGGTATAAAATCATTATTACTAATTTGATAATTATACCAATTATTATACCATTGATAATAACTATCATACCATTGATAATTATACCAAGATTGATAATTATTATAATAATCATATGATACATTATTATCATTTTGTGAATAATAATATAAAGAATTTGTATTTATAACATCCTTTTGCTTTTTTTTCTTTTTATCCTTTTCAGTAATCTTATTATTTAACTGTGATTCTTTCTGTTTATCATCAGTTGAAAATAATACAGGAGGTATCTCAGGAATTTGAACCTAAAAAGATAACTTAGCAATGATTAAAAATAATAAGATTTAAATTTACATAAATGTATCTACCTTGATGATATCTCTTTCATCTAAAAATTTTTCATATGCTTTTTGATCTGTTTCAGTTGTTAAAGTTCTTTGATGATGTTTAAATGAAATTTCATCTAAAAAAAAAACGAAAATTTAACTTTATACAAAGTTAAAAAAAACTATGTTAAAAACTTATATACCAGAAAGCGGATGAATTCCAACATGATAATTTTCCTTTAAAGATTCAATAAAATTCATTTCATTAATATCCACAAAACTTATCGCCAATCCATAAGTTCCTAGATATTAAGTGTTAAAGGATTTGAAATCTAATAAATAAGAAGCATTCATTGAAACAAACCGTAACGTCCAGTTCTGCCTACTCGATGAAGGTATGTTTCAGCATCTTTAGGCATATCTAGATTCACAACCAAATTTACTCTTTCGATATCAATGCCCCTAGCAATCTTAAAATGAATTTATTAATTACCTTCTTAATAAAAGGATATCAACCAAAACTTGTTATATTTATACCAAATCACTACAGACAAGGACCCTTATTTGGAATCTGCGAGCCTTTGACATAGTTTCAAGTCTTTCTTGTTGATCCAACCCCCCTATATATTCAATAAAATAATTGTATTAAATAATTTTGGAATTGATATAATTTAAATCAAACAATTTTTTCATGCCTGATATGTATAATGACATCCATCCTTGATTTGTCAAATAATTCGCCAAATCAACAGCCCTATTAAAGTATGATTTTAAATGCAAATATTAGATTATAAAAAAAAAATTCGCGTTTGAAAAATATTTTTACTCTTTTTTAATCAATCACCTTCCACGATGATTCATAAAGACGATGCACTGATAAAAGGGTACTCTTCCTAAAAGTTCTGCCAATTTTTGGAATTTCGCTTCATAAATTTTGAACTTGTCCAGTATATTATTTGTTTCAGGGGATTCGACTAATTGATAATATTGCAAAACTCCTGAAAGCAAGAAATTTATATTAATTAATATTAGTTGTTGGGTTTGTACCTTTTTTTTTCTTTTTTACCTTGCAGACAGAGTGTATCATCTGATAGCATAATATGGTGTGGATTTCGAACAAAGTGACTAAGAGCTTTTAATAAAGGCTTGTCATATGTTGCAGAAAATGCAAGAACTTGTTTATTAACAGGAAGTTTGACATTAATTTTCCTAAATAGTTAAAATAAAATTATTATCGTCTTTAAAGAAAAAGATAAAAATAAATAATTACTTTATTTGTGAGAAAAAATTGCTTTCCATTAATTTATCTGCCTCGTCTAAAACCAGCAATTTCAAATTTTTGCTAGACATATTCTTTTTACGTAAAAGAATATCAATTCGTCCTAAGAAAATTAAATTTTTATTAAAATAGATAGAGAACGAAGATATTTTTTATAAAACAAGAGACTTACCGGGTGTGCCTATTACAATTTGACATTTTTCAAGTTTCGGTAAATCTTTACCAATAGGCAAACCTCCAATAAAGACATGGCAATATAAGCCTTCCATATAACGACCGATATTACAAATAACTTCTTTTATCTGTACAGCAATCTCACGAGTAGGCGCCAAAACCAATACCTAAAATTGATGTTTATAAAATATCTCTCTCTCAAAAAAGCTCATTTAATAAGTTTATCTTTATCGAACCTGAGGCTTCAGATTATTCAAATCTAGCATTCCTAATGCTATAATTCCGAAAACTATAGTTTTTCCGGTCCCAGATTTAGCTTGTGCGATAACATCTATTCCAAGTTTACCAGGAGGAATTGCTTTTAATTGTATTGGTGAAGGACGCTCGTAACCAGCTTTGGATAATCCTTTTATTATGTTAGGATTTGAAATTAATACTTCGAAATTAACTTCTTCATCTATTTGAACATCACTTGTACGTTCAATATTCATATTTAGATGAAAATAATTTTTCAAAGGAAAGGAAGTTGACATCTATATTTTGAAATTTTTTTTTTTTATTAGATTTGTTGTGCGACAAACAGGTATCTTATCGTTGCATTTTGATTGGATAATGAAAATCGAATCTAAAAAATTTGATTCAAATAAAATTTTTAAAAAACAAAATACAAACACAAATACCAACACAAATAAAATATAATGAATCTAACACCCTTTAGATGAAAGGTATTGATATACATGTATATAATAACGTTGATTTTATTATTAGATATATGCAGAATGAGAAATAAAATGTTCGAAGAAAATTTTATTTTACAAACCTAATTTTTCCGCTTTGAAAATTTTTCAAAATTTGTCGAGGTAAAAGTAATAAGAATCAAGATTTATAAATACTGTAAACTCATTCAACAGAACAATAAATTTAACTCATTTGATGTGATACAAGTTAATTTTGTCTTCATTTAAAATAATTTAATTATCAGAGGCCAAGGTTGCTTTGTAAAGATTTTTGAAAAAAAAAAGTAAATTAAATGTATTGAAAAACAATAAACTTACAAGTCTCACAGATCCAATAATATAAATAAATCTTACAAATCTTTTCCTTAAAGCTTAATTATTTTTTATTGAACAAAATAAATATCATCCAATCAAATTTTATTTACAGATCCCCCAAAATACAAATAAAGAAAAAATCATTCACATTTGAATGTAATTTGATCCTTTTTACCCTTCCCATTTTTCTTCTCGGCGGTTGCCAAAATTTCTACAGTGCCAAAATTTAAAGTAAATATAATTGTCGTATCATCATCATAATTGTCAATTTCAGACTCTATTTCCCAATTACGAAGTAATTTCACTTCTGGATCATCACAGAATTTGACAATATGACGATCAGTAACATACATATCAAAACTAATATTACTTTGCGTTAATGAGGATGGTTTATAGTATTTAGTAACCTTTTCATTTGTTGAAACTTGGCTACCACGCCTTGCAAGTGTTTCAAAAATTATTGTATAGCCGTTTGGAAGCCTTTGTGTTGGTGGATCACTTGGCAAAGACCTTCGCACAATATCCGTTCCTATAAATAATAATTAACATTAATAATAAAAATCAAGACGCATTTATTTTTAAATTATAGTTACTGAACGTACCGTATGTTCGTTTTAAAACTCTATTTACCACAATTTCATTATTTAGTCCAAATTGAACGCCACCCTTCACGACCGCGACTATAGGATTCGGTGCTTCAGTAATAATCGGTACATCCTTAAATTCCCTTCTAATCTTTTCTAGTAAATATTTGGATTCACCAAATCCACCAACAAACATTATCGCAGAGCATTTTGCATGATCCTTTTCTAATTGTTCTCGTATCAAATTAATAATATCTTGTATAATTGGATCAAACATTTCTTTAACATCATTAAATCTAACCGTTATTGTCCAATTATCTCTTCTTAATAATCGCTTTTCTTCCCCTTCAATGATACCCTTTATCCAAGGAAAATCATCTAAATCTATCCTAAAATCTCGAAAATCGGACTTTCGCCCCGTAAATGGGATCTTTGCTCGCCTGCCAAACTCTTGCACAAAATGCTGTAATAAATTCTTGTAATCTGTATTTAACTTTTCAATAACGGTCACTCCCAATTTATTACCAAGAAATTCTATAAATTTCTTATCTATAAAACTTGATCCACAGCTTTCACCTGTACGTTCGGTTAATTCACTCAATCCATTATTGGTTAATATTTCATGCCTCGATAAATCTACTGTGCCACCGCCACTATCCACAACCATAAATGAATCTGTAATTATACGCAGTTGATTAGAAACTCATAATTTGACGAATAATAAAAAAAAATTTTTTTTTACAAACCTCCGGGTTTCAATTTATACATTGTTTTTAAAAAATCCAAACAATACACAGCGGCGGCTTCGGCTAATTTGATAAGGTGCGAAAAAAAATTATTAGATACGGTCTTTTTTTTTTAAAAAAAAATCGTTTATAAAATTGATGCTTACGTTCCGTAGTGAAAACTAGATTTCTGCTAAATTTATCATTAGTAAATCTTGCGGCAAAAGCGCATTCGCGCATCGTCTTAATTGCATCATCATCAAATTCTGCCGGGATCTTTTAATTAAATCAGATATGACAAGTCCGTATAACGATGACCAAATCTTGCGCAACATAAATGTTTTATTTATACGTACCGTGAACACGGTCAACACGTTACTATAAAAATGTAAATCTTTCCAACGGCTGCTTAAACTTTTTTTAATCATATCACATAATCTTTCCAGATAATCCGTGATAACTTTTTTATGATCCAAATTATCAGGTAAAATAGGTTCCATTGAAGAACTATTTAGTAACAACAATTTAAATAATTCCACGTTTAATTGACTAGAATTCTTTTTCGTTGGCTTTTTAGCCATTGCTGAATAACCCCAAGATTTTATGGTGGTGAATGTTTCATCTTGATATTTTATGATGGTTGGAGTTTTATAACCTATAGTATCCATCCATTTGTCTTGTACGATAATATTTTTTGGATCGAATTTGTGAGCAAAAGCGTATCCCTAAATTTGATTTAAATAACGAGAAATTATAATTTTGAATTAAAGGTTTATAATCATAATCGTTCATTAGTGAGGCACTCACAGAATACGTTGTACCGAAGTCTGAAGTTAAGAGAGATAAGATGAATTTTAAAAATAAAGCATTAATATGAAACAAATTTCTGATTCACAATAAATGATCTTACCAATCGCGACAACCACCCTAATATCATCATCATCCTTTGACGAAGACATTTTTTTTTTTTTTTTAAAAAAAAAAAAACTAATCGAGTAAATACAAAAAATCTAATTACGTGATCATGATAACCTGTGTCGTACATAAGTGTTTTTCCTTTTTTTTTTTTTGTTTTTGTTTCCAGAATTGGAAATTTCGAAAGTTGTTATGTAACACAGCAAAATAGCGCGCAAATGATTGTTCTCCTTTGCAGGCGCCAAGTCACTTGTAGATATAAGAACTTGAAGTCATGAGTTTAACTTATCGGATGTTTCGCACATGAAATATTGCCCATACCCGAATCGAACAACAATACCTTAATTTGGATAATTGATCAGGGTTTGAATAATGTAATGGTGATGATATATTTGGAAAAACTTCTTAGTATAAACTTATTTTTGATTAATATAAATATGGTTAAATAAAAAGACCGGAATGAAAACCTGTTCTTTTTTTATAAATACATGTCGACATCAATTATCGAATCTTTAACTCCTTTGAAAAAAAATGCAATGGCAAGATGATATCCGTGTTATAGTCGGTTTGGGTAATATATATTTTTGTTTGTTTGTTTGTTTTATCAATTTATTAATTTATTAATTAATTTTCAATCCCAAACGCGCTTTTCGATTATTTAGATTTTGGAACCACCTACTCGGTAAGCTATAAAGTAATATCTAAATTAAACTAGCTATCATTTTTTTTAAAAAAGTTTTATCTATAGGGATTCGCTTATTGTCATATAATTGACGAAATTATTCATACGAATAATAAGTGGACCGGTGCAACAGGTGATTTAAAGACCAACACAATACTCCAATATGATTACAAGTTTATAAATGTCGAAGAATGGGGAAATCCGGCATTATATAAACGATCAAATCGGAAGAAAGAAAGAGAACCTGTTGAATTATTTAAATTACATCTTGGTAATTTACAAGCAAAACTTAGACCTAAACTTCCAATCGATCATAAAAAGGCAATTAAGGATTATCTTTATGAGATTGGAAAGGTAATTATAAGAAATCATATAATTAATTAAAAAATTAAGTGAAATAAAATGATGAAATTTTTGTATTATTTTTATTAGCTATTTAAGGAAAGGATTCATAAAAAATGGCCTGATGTTGAAATTAACAAAAATGTTCTTTGGGTTCTTACCGTTCCCGCAGAATTTTCGGAAAAAGACATAGCCATAATGAGGGAATGTGTGAATAATGCTAAGCTCATTAAAAGAAAAGACGCCAAAAATCTACAATTTACCACAGAACGTAAGTTAAAAAGAAAATAAAAATTAGGGATAAAGATAATTTCAATTTATTTTTAATTAATATTGGTTCATTTTACAGCTGAAGCTGCGGCACTTTATTGCATGGAGAATGAATTGCTAGAATTAAATATTGGAAGTAAGTTATTATTGAACAAGAATAATTTCTTTAAAATTACATATAGTATATTTATATGTTCAAATAATTTATTTATTAAAATTTCACAGATTCCTTCATGATTGTTGATTGCGGAGGTGGTACCGTTGATTTGACCACTCGAAAGTTAATTGGTATTGGTCAATTAGGCGAAGTTACTGAAAGAACCGGAGATTTTTGTGGAAGCACATTTATTGATAATGAATACATTCGATTTTTACGAAAAAAACTCGGTCATCGTGCCATAGATCTATTAAAAGAACACAATTATGGTCAATATCAAAATATCATTCAAACGTTTTGTCGACGTGTAAAAATTCCTTTCACGGGTGATGATCCGGGATTTCACTATACATTAGATATTGAAGCAATTGCTCCAGCTTTAAAACGATGTGTCGATAATGAAATCAAAGGAAATATGATAGATCTGGAATGGATGATTAAAATTAAGTATGATGACGTAAAAAAGATGTTCGATCCTATCATCGATAGAATTTGTCGTATGATACATCATCAACTTTTAAATAATCGAGGGATATGCTCCAATATAATTTTAGTTGGAGGTTTTAGTAAATCAAAATATTTACAAAAACGGATCAAACAAGGATTTGAACACGTGAGCTTAGATTCTAATCTACCTAAAGCAACCATTGTAATTCCTAAAGAACCTGAAGCGGCAATTGTTCGTGGAGCGGCCATATATGGATTAAGTTTACAAAAATCTTTAAATACAAGTAAAATGGATAAGACTAAATTCGCGATCTTGAATCGTATCCTGAAATGTACATATGGAATAAAAATATTCCCGCCGTGGAAAAACGGAGACCCGCCTGATCGTAAAGAAAATGGGCGTATTGGTATTTTCAAACGACTTGTGGAAAAAGGGACACAAGTAGAAATCGACCAAGAATTTAGTTCAAGCTTTATACCTGTTGAAACAAAACAAACAGATATGAAATTTGAAGTATATTATACGACTCAAAATAATGCAAAATATTGTGAAGACCCGGTGAAACCTTTAGGATTGCTTCATATTGACCTTCCCGATCTCGATTTGAAACGCCGTGATAGGACGGTTACTTTCGGATTTTCTTTTGGTCAAATGGAAATTACAGCATTTGCAAGGAATGAAGTCAATGGACAAAATTTCCAAACAAGATTCGATTTATCAATGGATCACGAAATTTAAGTTTTTGTATTACTGAAAATTACATCAATACTGATGATTTTTATTTAGTAAAAAGATTTACGTTGTACAAAAATTTTATATATAAAAACAAAATTTTAATAAAATTTAAATTCAAACTTGGAATTTAACGATGTTTTGTAATGACTTTAGCGGGTGTATAAATTTGACATTTTGACTTGTTATTTACGAATCCTTGTGCTATTAAAGGAAAATAACAAACATCTACAATCAAATCATCAATCTCATCTTCTTCCCATATTCCATCCATAAAATCATCTATCTGGCTGCCATATTTACACCAGTGATGATTAGCCACCGGTTCGTGAACTTGAAATCTAAAAAGAAATAATTTAACTAATTTTTGAATAATATCAGCGGCCATATCTTCAACTTCTTTCTTCTGAAAGGGATCGATAATCTTGCGATATTTTCCAATTTCATTATTTAGGACGTCTTTAAAGTAGGTAATAAATTCGTGACGTTGGATTTTCTTATCAACATTAATCATATCATTGAATCCTCTATTACCAAGAGCTCCAAAAATTTGTTGACGTAATTTAATATTTAGTAATTTGATTGTATCATCATCCCCAACGCGTCTATCTGCTAAATCTGTCATTACTTCTAACAGTTGTTCGGTACTAAAAAGCAGTGTGGTTTCGATTCCATACAGCATTTCTTCGTGAATTCCTGGATTACCAATAAAACTATTTGCATAATCAAGAATTTGTTCAATTACATAACGCTGTAATACTGCTTTTATTAAAGGTTTTTGATCTTTTGTAACAACTGTCTGACTTCCATATTTTTTTAATAGGGCTTGTATTTTGGGAATATCAAGTTCAATATCACCTTTGCAATTGGTAACGTAATCTTCTAAAGAATCTTGCAAACTTAAAATATCTTTTTTGAGATTAACCGAATTGTTCTCATTATCGTCTGATAATTGTAAATCAATTGCATTTCCAAGAGCAGATTGATATTTTGAAGCTTCCTTCTTCAATTCAGCATTCTTCCTTTCTAACGCTTGAATATCGGCTTTTAATGATTTAATTTCTTTAGCATTATCATTTTTTAATTTATTAATTTCTTTCTCTAATTCTTTATTTTGTCTTAAAATTTTTTTGTGAAAATTTTCATCACCCATTTGATTCATAATTAGTGTAAGATAAAAAAAAAAAAAAAAAAAGTGATTATCTTAAATATGTGAATTTTAATAAGATGCATGATAATTTTTAATTGTTTCTACTTTTGGTAAATTTCTTTTTATGGATCCTTACTACGTTACACGAATGAAAAATTTTGGACTTTAAATGATGACATTTATGTTTTCTGTCACATGTCATTGCATAATTCACAATGATTTTGCGTATAAAATATGTGAAATCAAATCGATAGTCATTTAATTTAATCATAAAATTTTCGCTTTTGATTGAATATATAAATAGAATTAGATAATTCATGTTAAATTAAATTGCATCAAATTAAATATTAGATAATCATAAATTATTTTTTTTCAATCAATTATGAATTGATTTCTTATATACCGGTACTTGGGACATTTCTAATTCAAGCTAGTTAAGTTATTTCGAAATATTTCTAAATCGTAATTTGTTAATAACATGTCATATATCAACGCTAGAGACGATATTATTATCATCGTCATGACAATTCCTACGTCACAGGGTAACAAAAACAACTTGAAATTTCTACATGTTAAATATAAATTCTGTCAGTAGGACAGGTAATTATTCGCGATTTTGTAATCTGTATTATATTATATAAATCGCGTATTTTCCTGCCCTACAGTAAAATTTAAAAATTTGGTCAATTTTCAAATGTATAAATATTAAAACGGTTTGTTACCCTATAATCATAGCTCATTGAATCTTTCAATGATGATTCACATCAAATGTTACTTATATCATATTTCTTTCATTGATAAATGGCATGTTACTGTATTAGCACATTACAATTTGAAAACATATTGAAATTAACTATGCTATCTATTAGTCCAAGAATTTTGATTTTACTACCATTTGATTTGAATCATTATGATTTCATCTTTTTATAATCACTGGTTATTAAGCTATTGAAGTTTAACTTGCTTAAATAAAACTGTTCCAATACTTGCAGGTTGGTACATTTATAACAATATAGTACTTTGCAAATTTAATATGAGTTGTAATAATTGTAATAAAATTATTACTTTACAAATTTTGAAAGTATCATTTCAGATCTAATATCTAACTTTCAAAATATAGATTTATTTATACAAATAATTCGAAAGTTTATCATGTAAGTTTAATAACATTTTCAGATTTGTCTTTTAAATATATTTTTCTTATCTATTACATCCATATACCATTCAGAAAAATAACATCCAATTAACTTGCCATGATAAATTTATTAATTTGCAACTAGTTTTATTGGTTAATCTATTATACTTTAATTAGTTTCATTAATAATTATAAACTGGTAAAATAGAAATTACAAACATTAGTATTTTCTAATAAACTTAAGAATTATTTTTTAAAGTTCATATTATATTATCACATTATAATTACAAAAATTTTAAAGTCTATATTTGTAATAAAACCTGATCTAAAGTTCCAATAACTTGAATATTTAAAATAAAAATCTTTCAAATAAATCAATTATTTGTTAAAATGATCAATGTTTTTTTAACTACGTGACATAATTAATTAATTGAGATAAAAAAAGTAGCAATCATAAAAAATTACATTTTATTAAATTAAATCATTAATTAAAAATTACTCTATTGAATTATGAATTGTCAAGATCAATAATTAACAGAATTATGATTTATTATTTAAACAAAAATTATGTCAAAACTATCTTTTTGTATATCTTTCAAGTCCATACGCTTGGCTAGATACTCTAAAGAAAAATAGCAGAAATAAATAATATCAGATTTAGCAAAACTCTTCAAATAAGATAAAAAAGAATATGTGCAGAAAAAATTATTCATTTTATGTAAATAATATCCTGGTTATTATAATGTAAAATGCTAAAGCATTCTTTAAACTTACATCCATTAACCCTTTTAAAGATGAGGGACGAAACTCAAAAAAGGCAATTAATAAACAGCCGAAACTATATTAAACATAGTGAGGGATACGACGAAACCCCGAAACCCAAAATTAGCCAAAACTATATTAAAAACATAATAAGGGATATGACGAAATTATTTTGAGAGAGTTTCGGCTGGCATCTTTAAACCCTTTAGAAAGAAATAGTAGGAAAACAATTTGAATATAATGAAGAATCAGGTATAGTACTTTTGGCTAAGAAAATAATAAATATATAACTAAACATATGCTTGCATCCATCAAAGATAAATATAATATACTTAAAAGAAGCTTTGAAGTAAAAAGGAAAATAGTAAAATATATAGTATATATAGTATATCAATCTGTTATCCAGTAATAATGAATGTAAGATCAAGTATTAAGAATGAACAATATGAAAATGTTAAATTTGACATTAAGAATAAATAAAATTCTAACTAAGAAGCAAAAATACAAATGCAAGTATTGATTAAAGAATTGTTTAAAATCAGTATTCTGAGAAAAATAAAATTATATACAAATATAAAATGAAATCTCATCATATGTATAAAAATTTTATGGAGATATTATTTGATATTTTTTTTTGCCATATTTTCTTTTAGATATAAACACTACTACTTATCAAGAATTCTAAGAAGTAAAAAAAATCATTAATATAGTTAAAAGTATAATTTATAAAGAAACCATTAGTTAATTTTTACATTAAATTAAATACTAAAAGAAATATGAATCATTTAATGCGAAGTTTTTCACTAAAAAAAATAAAAATGTTTATGTATATAGTTAGATCTCTATATAGTTACCTAATAAGTTTCAGTGATTATATAAATTTAAGTTTTTTAAATCATAATTTTAGCCAGAATTATAAATTATATAATATATATTCATATAATTTTACAGATTATTTCTATTTATAGCAATAGCCATTCTATAAAAAATTTTTTAAAATTAATAAATTTCTTTTTAGATAACTTATATAATATTAAATTCTAAAAATGAAATTTTGTTTAACAATCATAAGTTATTGGGGGATTCTATATCGGTTGATCAACAAATTTAAGTGATACAATAATGTAAATTTAATATATGCGGATTTTTTCGC